CCCCCGCCCCGGGCTATCCCCGGCCCCAGCCATCCCCGCCCCTGTACCAACGGTGGGTATGGCCCCGGTGGGGGGGCCGGGGAGGGGTAAAAACCATTTTTTTGATTTTTGGCCAGGGGGGGCAGGCTGCCATTGCGCACCCCCCAGTATTTTTTGTTTTATTTATTTATTTATTTATTATTTATTTATTTTGGCCCCTTCAGGGCCGGGCTCAGAGGACCACTGCATCGGACCCCCAAGGCTGCCCCGACCCCCCGGGGCCGGGGCTGTAACAACCCTAACTCCAACACCTGGTTCGAAATTCCCACCACGATCACAGACATCTTGCCCACGGCCGCATATATTTGTATGAAATTGACTGCAGGGGAATGTTTAAGAATCGTCCTTGGGGAACAATTCCCAAGGATGAGTGGAATGATGGCACCAAAAACACAATTCGTCCAAGGAATTCGTCCCCGGGGCCAAGAAGTGTCTAACAAGGCCCTCTCTCTCTCTATCTATCTCTATCTCTATCTCTATCTATATATATATATATATATATCCACAGGTTGTTGTGGTTTCTTTGTTTCAAATGACAATATCCGCTCTTATGCCTCCTGCAGACAGTCCAACTGCCTGCAGCCTGCACGCAGCCACAACGCCATGTTTTATACCCTGCACCTACGTTACCAGTTGTCCGATATGGAGACATCTCCTCCGGACATCTCCGGGAGACAGTTGAGGGGGAGTTGTCTTAAAAATCGAACAACAGCTGTTTTGCTACTAAAAAAAAATAAAAAAATAAAAAATGGGATGGGTCTGCGCACTGCCGAGGGACCCCCCAGAAACATTTTGGGGCTATTCTGAGCAAAAACAGAAAAAAAAAAAAAAAACAGGCTTTGGGGCTACGTTGCATAACGTACACGTATGAGGCCTTTCCGTATGAAACGTACAAGTAATATCTATACGGGATATGTACGGGAACCTATACGTTTTGTACGCCCCCGTACGAAAAAAAAAAAAAAAAAAAAAAAAAATCATCAATAAAATATGAAAAACAGATATGTGATGCAACAGCGTGAAACAAGCAACATTTGGTTGAGCATCATCTTCAGATTCTTATTAGAATTTGACGAAAACAATAAAAAACAATACCGATTTAAAAAAAAAAAAAAACCTCGTACGGGGCCCCTAGCGTACGAGTACATGAGTACGAATCCTCACTCGTACGAGGGTGCCTACAAGTGGCGTTGCAACTTTGGGGTGTATGGGGGGGTGGGTTTGGGTTGTTGGGTGGTTGGGGGGTTCCAATGGAGACTTTTACTTCTCCTCCTCGTCCTCTTCCTCCTCCTCCTCCTCCTCTCCTTCTTCTTCCTCCTCTAATTTTTTCCCCTCCTCCTCTTCGCTCTCTTTTTCTTTGTCCTCCACCTCCTCCTCATGCTCCTCCGTTTCCTCCTCCTCCATCGTCAGGGCCTCCTCCTCCTCCTCCTCCTCCTTCATCGTCGTCCTTCTCCTCCTTGCCCTCTTCTTCTTCGTCCTCCGCCGCCTCCTGCTCCTGCTTCTCCTCCTCCTCCTCCTGCTTCTCCTCCTCCTCCTCCTCCATCATTTGGGCCTCATCCGCTTCCTCCTCCTCCTTCGTCATCGTCCTCCTCCTCGCCCTCTTCTTCTTCGTCACCCTCCTCCTCCATCATCGGGGCCTCCTTCTCTTCCTTTTCCTCACCCTCCTTTGTCGTCCTCCTCCTCTTCATCTACCTCCTCGTCCATATCGTCCACCTTCCTCCTCCTCCTCCTTCGCCACCGCCCTCCTCGTCCTTCTCCATCACCATGGCCTCCATGCTTTGGCCTCTTCTTCTTCTTCCTCCTCGTTCTGCCAGTCGCTGTCCAGGCTGTCCCCCAACTCGCCGTTCTCCGGCCCATCGTCTCCGAATCACTAACGACGTCCTCCTCCACCTTTTTTTTTTTTTTTTTCCGTATATGGTTCAATCAATCAATCAATCAATCAATCAATCGATTCGATGGGGATCTTCCATCAATCGATCGATTGATTGATTGATTGATTGATTGATTGATTGAGTGAGTGAGTGAGTGAGTGAGTGAGTGATTGGATAAAAACAAAGAGAAGAAAAAAAAAATGCGGGGCCTCATTCTCCTCCCCAACTTCTTCTTCATGTGGCGCCTCATTCTCCGTTGACGTGGGCTCCTCCTCCTCCACCTCCTCCTCCTCCTCCTCCATCGTCGAGCCCTCCTCATCTTTTACCTCTTCCACTTCTTCCTCGTCCCCTTTCCGTCCTCCTCCTCCTCTTCCACTTCTTCCTCGTCCCCTTCCCGTCCTCCTCCTCCTCCTCCTCTTCTTCTTCCTCCTCTAAGTTTTCTCCCTCCTCCTCTTCCGTCGTCTTGGCCTCCTCATCCTCCTTCTCCTCTTCCTCCTCCTCCGTCGTCGGGGCATGCGCCTCCTCCTCCTCCTCCTTCGTCGTCGCCATCCTCCTATTCCTTCTCCATCGCCACGACCTTATCCTCCCCCGCTTCTTCTTCTTCGCCATCGTCTCGCCCATCCTCACCCTCTTCTAGTTCGTCTTGTGTTTTTGCTAACGACCTTCTCCTTCCCCGTGTTTTTTTGTTTTTTTGTTTTTTTTTGTTTGATAAGTCAATCAATTAATCAATCGATCCATCCATCCATCTATCAATCGATCGATCAAACAATAGAAGATCCCATCGAGTCGATTGATTCGATAGGATCTTGATATGAGAAGATCATGACAAGATCATATCAAAATTTTATCGATGGGATCCTCGATCGATCGATTGATTGACACCGTTCACGAGGTTTCCGCCCACGTGGAGGCCGGGACGTTCGGGATCGGGGCGGGAGGGGGGTGGTGCGGGGGCCTTCTACACCCCCATGCCTTCAAATAAAAAAAATAATAAAAAAAAAAGAACGGGGTGTGTGTGAAAAAAATAAAGAAAATGTTTGGGGGGTGAAGGTGGGTGGGCGTTGGCGCAAGGCCCTGGCAGAAAAGCGAAGCGGGATAAAAAATCTCTCTCTCTCTCTCTCTCTCTCTCTCTCTCTGAGACGGAACCCCATTGTGGTTGGTGCTTTATTGCACCATGAAATGGAAACGGCTGGGTCATCTGCACCTGACAAAGGGCCAACCCGCCTCCCGCAAAAAAAGGCCCAACATTTTTTTTTTTTTTTTTGTATGGTGCGGTGCTGGCATAGTGTCATGATGCACTGTCATCATTTTTTTTTTAATTTTTTTTTAGGGCCCAAAACACCCTCACAATGCCCCACACGGCCAACGAATGCTATGCCTAACACAAGCGAAATCGATTTTAAAAAAAAATCAAAAAAAAAAAAAAAAACATTTTGATCGAAAACAAATAGATAAAAACTATGGGCAGGTGCCCGTTGACACAAACCACAAACCTGTACAAAAAAAAGAAACCCCTACCAGCCCCCCCCCCAAAAAAAAACGGAGTCCCCGCTTTGCGTGAACTCCGTGAACTCCCACTGGTCACGTTTTTCGTGACCGGTGACCGGCCTGCGTTCACCGTGGCCGTGAACGGTGAATGGGTGTACGACACTGCCGACGATGGTGGACGAGGAGGAGAAGGCGGAGTAGGAGGATGACGACGACGAAGAAGAAGAGGGCGAGGAAGAGAACGAGGAGTAAGAGGATTCGGAGAAGGACGACGAGGAGTGTGAGGATGATGAAGAAAAAGGAGGAGGAAGAAGAAATGGAGGAACAGGAGACCGCGGCGCGAAGGAGGAGGGGGGAGAGAAAAAGGAAGAAGAAGACGAAGAGGAGGAGGAGGAGGAGGAGAAAGAAGACGAAGAGGAGGAGGATGCGGAAGAAGAGAACGATGACCCGCAGGAGGACGACGATGAAGAAGAGTAGGAAAGGGACGAGGAGAAGGAGGAGGCCACGGTGATGGAAGAGGTGAAGGAAAATAACTTGGAGAAGAAGAAGAGGCGGAGTAGTACTAGGAGGAGGAGGAGGAGGAGGAGGAGGAGGAAGTAGAAGAGGAGGAGGATGGCGAGGAGTAGAAAGGGGAGGAAGAAGAGGAGGAGGAGGAAGAAGAGGAGGAAGAGGAGGAGGAGATGGAAGAGGAGGAGGAGGAGAAAGAAGAGGAGGAGGGAGAGGAGGAGGAGGTGGAGGAGGAGGAAGAGCATGATGACGAGGACGAGGAAGAAGAAGAAGAGGAGGAGGAGGAGGAGGATGACGATGAGAAGGAGGAAGAAGAAGAGGAGGAGAACGAGGAGGAGGACGACGAGGACGATGAGAAGGAGGAAGAAGAAGAGGAGGAGGAGAACGAGGAGGACGACGAGGACGATGAGGAGGAAAAAGAAGAGGAGGAGGAGGAGGAGGAGAAGGAGGAGGAAGACGAGGAGGAGGACCAGGAAGAGGAGGAGGAGGAAGAAGAGGAGGAGGTCGAGGAGGAGAAGGAGGACGGGGAGGAGGAGGAGGACGACAATGAGGAGGAGGAGGAGGAGGAGGAGGAGGAAGAAGAGGAGGGTCTGACGATGGAGGAGGAGGAGGCGGAGGAGGAGGAGGCGACGGCGACGGAGGAAGAGGACGTAAAAAAGGAGGAGGAGGAGGATGAGAAGAAGGAGGAGGAGGAGGAGGAGGAGATGGAGGAGGAGAAGGAGGCTGACGACAATTAGGAGGACGAGGAGAAGGAGAAAGAGGAAAAGGAGGAGGACGAGGAAAGGAAAAGCGGAAGGAGGAAGATAGGAGAAGCGGAAGGAGGAGGAGGAGGAGGAGGGGGAGAAGGAGGAGGAGGAGGAGGAGGTGGACGAAGGGAAGCTGGCTCACCTAGCATGGGCAGGCGATGGCATGTGGGGTTGAGGTCCTCGACGTCGGAGTTCGACAATGGCAACACCGAACTTCGGCGGCAGCGTGGGGGCCAAAACGTGCGAGGGAGAACGCCAAGACCGTCATTTTGAAATTTTAAAATAGTCTGATTTGGGCCGTCGATCTCGCAGATCTGACGGTGCATACCCGACTGTTTTGTTTTTCGATTTTGGAAGCCCTACCGGCCTCCAACAAATCTTCTCGTCGGTGCCCCCGTTCGCCTGTCCCCGGAGTCCATCCCTCCGCCGCCCAAATCCCTGTCGTGAACCCAACCCATTTTTTTTTAGTGATCGAACGTAGGCCCCCTGGCGTACGACCGATCGTTGTCCGATTGAACAGTCCTAGACAGTCACGGGAGTCTTGAACGTCCGATCAGGTAAAGTAGCCCTGTTGTGTTATATATTCACGACTCACATATACAACACGATGTGGTCCCTGCCCAGAGTACACTCTCGACTCCAGGGACAGTCCCTACTCAAGATGCAGTCGTAAACGTTGAGGGATTGGAACATTGTTTTCCCAGATTGCAGTTAACCCCACAAGGCATACACCATATGGGGGATCTGCAAATGGTTGTCCAACAAATTTGTGCTCCGCCACACGCAGACCACATGCATTGGGTGATCTGCAATTGACTGACCAGCAAACAACCCAACACAGTATGGCCTTGCACCATCATTTGGGTGATCTGCAAATTGTTGGTCAGCATCCAACAAACCAGCCTGAGAACCTCACCACTCTTTGTGGTCTGACGACAACTATTATCTTTCTTCACATTCTCCACCGGCCGTTTTATACACCATTAGACTTCCTTGCAATCACCCTTCAGCTTGATGATGATCTTCCCCAACTACATCTAGAGGATTGTCAGTATAGTACCACTGAAGGACTCTGAGGCTTTACCATTGCTGTCCTACAAGTAGCAACGAGGGACCATCAACTTGAACTACGCAATGCTAAAGCACGTGAGTGGTTTAACCCTCCATCCCACACCTCTGCCTGCATTGTGCACGGGCCTGGCCATTATATGACCATTATACATGCCTCTGACCACTTGGAGTTGTGGGACAACAGCACCATGGTCCATACCATGACTGATGTCATCATGTCACTATTTTTTTACAAAATGATGTTGTTTTCTTGCCACAACAATCCGTCCGCAATCTCTTTTATGTCGAAGATCATTCCTCTGGCCCCATGCTGCAACAAAACAATGTACCAACACTGTGGGACCTTGTCCTTTGCACAACCACAAACATTGTTACACTCGGTTCTAGCCGTCATCATCTTTGCCACAATCACTACAATGATATGGTTTCTGCATCCATGTGTGTAGAGGACTGTCCGTCCATTCCTGACTGCAGGCACCCTCCGCATCCAGACACTATATGTCCATTTTGCGGCGATGGGCGCTATACTGAATCCATGGTCTTTTGTGGTGACCGTTCTTCCTCCATTTTGGCCTGCAGTCGACATGCCATTTGTCAAGGGTGTATGGTGGGCATGCTCAATGCCAGACGTCGTCGCAATTGTTGCACTGAGAATGCTCAGCTAGGTCTTCAATATTTTCATCCACCTCATCCTTACAATGTATGTCCTCTTTATCGTCAAGGATAAACTTATTCTTGAACCTTTTCTTATCCTCCTCTGCTTTCATCTTCACTCCACACTCTGTACTTTTCTGTACTTTCTCTTTATCGTTTTTTGTTTGGTCTGCTCTCCATCTCTCCTCCCTGTGTTTATCATCTCCCTGTGTTTATCCCCTCCCCCTTCACTCTGCCTCTTTCTCACAGCGTACAAGTGGACCGTTATGGTACACGGGGATGGGGGCAGCTCGTGCTCAATTTCATCAAAGTGCGCTCTTTTAGTTCATAGTTATGTGACAATATGTATATATATATACATACATATATATATATTCTACTCTCTGAGAAGTGGACTAGGTCTTTATAAGATATTGCTACAAATGAGATTCTCTTTGTAAATAAGCACTGTTACGGCTCGCGATCCAACCCTACTCAAGGCAACCATAAAACAAATTTTCAGTTTTTGAGGATGCACACACGACTTTCTTCAAATGCACTCGAGTACGCTGCAAGGTCAAAATTCATTGTCACACTTACCACCTAAAAACATGATGGAGCACAACCTCCTTACGAGTCCGTTCAAACAGTCTTTGTGCTTCTTCTTTTCCCTGCTGCAGTCTGCTTTGAGTCTTTGGGCTTGTACCTTTCCTCCCTTTGACCCTTTTGCCAAGAAATGACCAGTTCTGTGGAATCGTCATTGATGGTATTGCAAGGTTCTCCCCTGAGGGGTGGTTACCGTAGTTGTTAACTGCAGAGTCTCTCCATGAGTTTTTTTAGCAATCTTCTTCATACAGAATCAACATGAAAAACGACCAAAGCTAGAATTTCACACCCTGTCGGCCAGCAGGTCGACCCGTTCGGAGTTTGGTTGGAACCGGTATTGTGTCTACTACAGTGCCCAAATATGAAGTGGAACAGTGGACAGCTTGGTTCTGAGTTGTAGATGATTCTAGAGGATTCGATTTTTTGATAAACGTGGCTGTTTTTTTAGGTGTTGTGGTTGTGGCATACTGCGCAGCCACACGGGCCTGCACGGCCCGACCAACGTTCTCAACCTAAAAGCCTGAAAACAAGGGCCTACAGGCCCTGTGTCGTTTTCAGCCTAAAAGCCTGAAAACAAGGGCTTATAGGTCATGTGTCTGTTCAGCCTGAAAGACTGAAAACGAGGGTCTGCATGCCGTATGTCGCTTCAGCCTAAATAAGGCCTTCCAGGCCCTGAGTCGTTTCAGCCTGAAACAGAGGGTCATTTTCAGGCCCTCATAGGATCGACCTGCCCTGAAACTTAGGCACCAGACCAGGGTTTTAGCATAGGACATTTTTGGACTGTCTTCAAGACAACCCTTGGTTGAACTTCAACGCCAGGGTCTGGCACGTTTTGGCATTGGCAAGAGCAGCGTCCTAGACGGGCCAACACTATATAAGACTGGCCCGCCTTACAGGCTGCAGACAGTCACGAGGTAGTTCCTAGAAACTTCCCAGGCACTTTACGTGCAGGAGGCAGGAGGCAGTCTTCAGTATCTGGCAGCAACACTCTGTCGGAGCGCTGCAGTAGTGGTAGTAGCGTTAGCAGTAGTCTTCAACACAGGGCGCTATTAGGAGCTAGAGTAGTAGTGGAGAGAGAGAGATGGTTGGCGGAGGCCAGGGAGACTTACCTGTGGCGCCATAGCTCCAGCTTCGTCTTCGATGTACCTGCAACAAGGCACCACCTTCAAAGGTTAGTACCGGACTGAGAGAGAGAGAGTTCTTCTTCTTCCTCTTCTAAGTCCACAATCTCCTCCTCCCCCTCTCGCTACCTAACTTCTCAGTACCTGCAGACTACGAGAGAGAGAGATTGGTGACTTTGGGACTTGATGACATTGGATCCAGACTCGACATTGCGATTCAGACATTTGACGAGGGATTATGTGGGGCTTGTGCCGAAGACTTGGTGTTGACGCAATTCCCATCTTCCCCTCTTCTTTGTCCTTACCCCCTCTTCTTCGTCTGTGTATGGTTGGGGACTGGCRCATTCTTCCTGTGTGAGCATCAAGCCCCTTCACACCATGGGATGATGATGATGTATGCTTGGGCTACATTGGTGTTTAAGCCTTCCGCTGTGTTATCTTGTACTTTGTGAGAGAGGTCGGTTCTTGTTCTGGTCTTCACCTTTACGACATGCGACATGTATACTGTTTTTTAAGGTATTGTACGATCTGAGGTCGGCGGTTTGAAATCGGTATTGTTGGTACTCTCTGTTTTTGCTGAAGAGGTTCTTCGGCTGGTATGCAGGATATAAATAAGATGAGTATTATTCCATCGCTACCTTCCGCAACCAAGACCCTTGAGGAGTCCCGGAAGCGGCCGACCGAAACGTCGGGTCCCAGCCGCCAGCTTTATTGAAAATTTTAAGAAAGTCGCGTTCGGAATTTATATCTGCGTGTTGGTCTGCTACTTTTTTCTCAGTCTTTCTCGTTGCACAGTCCTTCCTTACTGTCTTACTCGACATTCTGTGTATCTGATACTTTCTCTTTGGCTGTCTTTCTCGTTATTTTCTATGGTCCTCCACTTTGGTTGTGTTCGACGTCAGTACGGATGCTGTCATACTATATGCAAGCACTTTTACTTTCAGAGTTACCACCATAGGAGTCGGATTACTGGGAGTGCGGCGTCGATAATCTGTGTCGCTTGACGGTATTATGATGGCGAATGTACCTGCCTCGCCTAGTGTACGAACCTGCTATAATTGTGGGGATCCTCATCACTTCGCACGATGGTGTCCTCATCCAAGACAAGGAGGCGGTTCGGATTCATCCTATCAAGCGGGCCCCATTTTGGCTTTGCCTGTTCCTTCTGCTTCGTTACGTCCACCTCCTCCCCCACCCCCTCCCCCTCCTCCGTTTTCTATTTCCACTCCGTTCAGAATGTTGTGTCTTCTAGTACCATGACAACCAGCTCAGGTGATCAGTATGTTAAGGGTAGTGGATGGTTTAACAGCAATCAGCGAATAGTGGCGTTGGAGTAAATTGTGACGATACTGAAGGCGTGGTATTATTCGAAGATGGCTAAGGTATTGGATAAGCAGCAAGAACAAGAAAAGAAGAAGCGGGCGCTGAAAGAAGAAGAACGAAGGTTTAAAGAGAAGAAAGATCGCTAAGAATTTTAGAGGCAGTTAAACGATACATGGAAAGTAAAGTTTGAAGCTATGTGTGGGTCTCTACACAGTAGTAGAGGTGGAGGCGCCAACAAGGAGGAAATCAACAAGTTAAAAAAACAAGTCGAATATCTGCAGATTCTTAGTACAC